TATATAAATAATTTTTATTTTATATATATATATATATTAATTAGAAAAACCTCTTCAAAAATTAAAAACAAAAGGAGATATTAATTTAAATATAAATGATTTGTTATTTTACTAAGAAAAACATATAAAAAGAAGCATTAATTAAAAAAATAAACAAAAAAAAGGTTAGGTGTTTTGGGCCTAGCTCATTTCATTAGAGCTGGCCTGACTGAGCTTCTTTTTTTTTTGTTGCACTTGGAGTGAATGACATGTCGTCCACTTTTATTTAAAAATAAAAATCTAGACAACACATCATCTATTTAGATAGACAACGCGTTGTCTAATCTTGCCCAGATTGCAACTATTGTGGTGGTCAAGTTTTTTTATCCAAAAACTTATTTTGATATAAAACACCTATAAAAAAAAACCATAATAAACCTATTCATAACCTAAAAAAACCAAAAAAAAAACCTCTAAAAAATATAAATGAACCTAAAATCAAAAATCAACCTAAGATCATATTTGCTTTTTCACAAACTTTAAAAGTAAGAAAAACATCTAATATGAGCTCTTCAAGTTAAAAAAAAAGACTATTTGACACAAATATTATCCTTTTTAATAGTCTATATTAATATCAATAACATGATTCTCTCTTTAGTGTTGAAATCCAACAACCTCTCTCTCATTTCTCAACCAAAATCTAAAAATTAACAAAAATAAACTTTCATACCAAAATTAAATTGAAAAATATTAAAATGTTGAAATTGTATAATCTTTTTTTTTTTAATTCAAAGACCAAAGTGCATCATTTTCAAAACTTCAAGCACGCCACCATATTTTACACCTTTTTTGTTTAGATCCCTCTTCCTTCCATCACTTTTTCATAAAAAATTAAAATTAATTGGTTTTTAATTAAAATTAAATTACTAAAAAAATTAAAAATCAAATAAAAAAATAAAAAAATTTACAATCCATCCACAATAACATGTGAAAAAATAAATAGCATAAAAAACTTGTATTTTTAGTTTTATAATTGGGCTTTGTTTGAAAACACAAGTCAAACTCCATTCCATCGAATTTAAAAAAAAAAAATTACTTCAAATTATTTTTTTTATGTTTC